TGCTTCTCCTGTCAAGAGTATAGACATTTCTACTGGTCGGGTCTGCACTTAGATGGTGTGGGAGATACTGTTAGCTGCCTACTCAATATTGATTCCTCCCACTGTCTTTTAAGAAAACAGGGCTTTGTTCTGGGTGGCAACAGGCCAAACCCCAGGCAGGTCATGAGTAATCTGATCCAATGTTCCCAAACTTTGCTGGTAATAAAATCACCTAAAATTCTTGTTTAAAAAATAATAGAGAAACAAAAATATATACCCCGGGCTTCCATCCTAGACCCAGCAAATCACAATTTCCTGAGATGTGTCTTGCTGATAGGTATATTGAGCAAGCCCCCTGATAACTCTAGTTGTCATCAGGGAAGTATGAGGAATACTGGTCTAAGCCATTGCTGGCTATCACTCCTGTGCCTGGCTTTCCTAATATCCCCTGCAACTAGGTGACCATGTGATCAGTTCTGGTCAATGAAACCTAAAGTCTATTTGGGAGATTTCTGGGAAATAATCAACCACATTGTATATCGAAAAAATAAAAATTTAAAGGAAAAAATAAACTATACTTAGCAATAAAAGGAGAAAGAGATCCATCCTTCCCTCTTCAGTGCTTCATTTTGTCTTCAATGCAGCTATGATGATTGGAGCTGAAGTAACAACATGAGTAAAAGGCCAGTGGCCTTTGCCACTGTTGAGCAGCTTAAATAATGCCACCAACCTCCAATTTCTTGTTAAACGAGCAAAATAAACCCTGGGTTGTCTAATCCTATGGTCAGGTGTTTGTCCCTTGGACCAAATGCTTTCCTGAGCATGTAACAGATACTAGCAACATTTGCCTCTGTGACACACCCTCACCCATGCTCCATTTGTAGGGGCTTTGCCCCTTCTGGGTGAGGGATTCCTTCTTCAGATATGTCAAGGCAGTCATTGGGGTTAGTCAAGACCCACATAAATGGCAGCCATCTGTCTTTTCAAGAGGACCATGTCTACTTCCCTTTTCTCTATCTATTTGATTTATCACTTCACTCTCAGAAGACTTATATTTTTTTCCAAGTTCTTGAGGGACATGTCATAGATATTACTTGTGATGCTGACAATTTATGGGGTAGGTTTTATTTTCCTGAAGAGAATTCTGTCTGAAAAACTATAACAAGGGTTAGCAAACTTGCTCTGTAAGGAGCTAGACAGTAAATATTTTAGGCTTTTGTGCCACATGGTCTCTGCTACAATTTCTCAACTCTGTCTTTGCAGCCCCAAATAGCCACGGACAATACATAAATGAAAAAGCATGGCTGTGTCCAATAAAAAAAAATGTTATGAAACAGGCAGTGGCTGGATTAGGCCCTTGGGCTGCAGTTTGCCAACCCCTCACCTATAAGACAGTCTTCACTATCAAAAACTTGAGGAGAAAAATTGGACCTGCCTGGTATCACCACATCTAGTTTTTTGCTGTGTCCCTGCCACTTGGAAAAACAATAAACTGGGAAAAGGGTATAGCGGCATGCAGGGGACCCATCTTGGTCAAAACCCATTCCAGGCATAAGTCCTTAAAGAACACTGATGTTGCTGTATTTATTGAGCAACTACTGTCTACCAGGGGTTGTGGGAGGCATTTACATAAAAACGTTAATACATCAAGGTTCAAGACCTCTGCTTAAGATTCTCACTCATATCTTAAGAATCATGGTCACGTAACCTGGATATGCAAGTATCCTGTCACCCTGCCCTGAATTACGACATTTTACCATCCAGTCTAAAATACAGGCAGAAGGAGAACAAAATTGAGGTGAGTGAAATAAATAAAAGTGTTTTATTTCCAATTTAAGTGTTTTGTTAAATATGTATTTTTTTCAACTTGAGGCTTGTAAATCATTTTGCATATCTGTAGTAAAACTTACCAGAATGTCTGGTTTTATCCATAATATTGCTATTTGGGAGGGGTTATTTCCCCTTTCTATCTGAAGGCTTTTCACTTATGTCCAATGAAAATAGAAGTTTTTGAGGCAACTTTACTTAACCAAAACAGGCTCTTAATTTGATGATGTGAGAACAGCCCAAAGGTTAGAAAATTGTGTTCACTTCATAGCTGATACACCTATTAGAACAAACTTTAAGATGGCAGGAAAGCGGCCTTCATTCCATCTGTCGCCACGAAGCATTTACAACCACCTGTCTCAGCCAATCTATAACTATCACTGAAAGACAGAAGTGAAATTCCAAGAGGACCAGCCTCTGGCAGCTCTATGTTCAGCCTCTGGGAAACTGTGTAGTTTTTAAATGGCCACAATGTTACTTTTGGTCCCACATACTCTTCCATAACTCTGCCATTCCTCAACAAGAGCCAGAGATTACACCCATCCCCTTCCCTGGAACCTCAGCAGGACTTTGTGACAGTTTCAACAGAGAAGGGAGCAGAAGTTATGTCCCATGATTCCCAACGCTGGATCACAATAGGTGATATGGCTTCACCCTGGCCTTCTCTCACTCTTAGGACACTTGCCTTTTGAAGCAGCCACTATGCTGACAGCAGGGACAAGTTTGCCCACACAGAGAGGTCAAATGGAGAATATCTGAGACCCCCAACAACAGCCAGCATCAAGACATCTGAATGAATGGGCCTTCAGTGGATTCTACCCCCATCTTTGAGTCACCCTAACTGATCCACAATGCAGCACAGGTGAGATGTCCCTTTTGAGCGCCACCCAAAATATGGATTCATAGCAAAATAAATATTATTATTTTAACTCACAAAATTTTGAGCTTAGTGACTGGAACATAGACTTAGGAGTGAATTCACATATCAATAACTTTCACTTGAAACAAAATAAACTGTATATTTTGCTTCCCATTTTGATCCATGTAGGCAGAAATCAAAAATATACATACTTATTCCAACACTGACGTCCTGCTCCAAGACGCTTATCTACAGCTGCACGGTCAGTTGCGGGGCTGAGCCCAGGAAAGCCTGGATCACTGATGCCCGGCTGAACGCAGATCGGTGGGTGAACAGCTTGCCTTCTGCCTGGCCCACCTCCTTCTCAATCACCTCTGAGAGGCCGTTTTTGGGTATCTGCCGCCTCTTGGTGATGCTGACATAAGGCTCTTCACTCTGGCCTGACTGGAAGTACATGCAGAATAATTCAAAACACCTGGAAATAAATCAGAAAGTCATAATAATTAGAGACAGATAGGATTTTGCCTTTCTCAGTCACTCTGCTTAGACTTAGCCTGATTCTCAAAGCCTTGTCATGGCTACTCTTGACTGTTTGTCAAGCCCACTCGTGACTGTTGTCACTCCTCTAAATCATCCATTACAAGGACTACTTCTGAGCATGGAGTCCTCTTGAGACCCTCCAGCAGGCCAATAGAAATTGAGTGAGAAACAAATAGAGAGCTGACACCGAAGGCCATTGAGATGAGGAAACCTACTAGAGAATGGAAAGTGTTTCAGGCTCAGAGCCACAGAGAAATGTTCAGTATTCCTTCATGACACATATTAGCTGACACCACCTCCCCCACGTCGTTTGCCTCAATTACAAAGCAGATATAATACAGATTATGCCACATTGCTGTGAAAGATGATGATAATACAGTATACCTATGTGTGCCACATCCAACAGATATCCCCAAACCACACCAGTTAAAGCAGAAGCTATAGGTGGAAGATTCCCCAATACAGGGCAGCTTGCCATATAGCATTTCACTGGGAGACTACAACATGTATTACCTGACTTTCTGTTCGCATAAGCCTTTAAAGGGCAAGGTTAATGTCAATCACACCTAGAGACCTGCCAAGTATGTCTTATTTATGGAAGTCCAAGCCTGCCCTAGAGACTAAGCCTTAACCTCTCCAAACTGAGATTAGCTGGGGCCGGCCCGGAGGTGCACTGGAGAGTGCACCGCTTGGGAGCGCAGCGGCGCTCCGCCGAGGGTTTGGATCTCATGTGGAGACCGGTTCCCGCTCACTGGCTGAGCACAGTGTGGGTGCAACACCGAGGGTTGCAATCCCGTTGCCGGTCCCTGGTATGGGCGCGACACCGAGGGTTGCGATCCCGTTACCGGTCAGTAAAAAAGACAAAAAGGAAAAAAAGAATAGCTGGCTTTTAAAATTGAGATGTCGCCTCTAGGTAATAATATGGGTGCTGAAGTGGGAAAGACTACTGAGGTCTGCAATTTATCTTGAGTACACACACACAAATGAGTTGGTGTATGGACAGATAAATGGGAAGATGTTGAACAAGATGTTAATTGTAGAATTTAGGTGTGGTGGGTACTTGGATGTTCACTGTAGAATTGTTTCAAGTTTCTTCTCTGTGTTTGAAAATTTCCATAATAAAATGCTGGGAAAACGTGGTTTTTCCCTAGGAGTAAGAAAAATGTTAATGGCCTTAGGTTTAAAAATTGTTAAAGGACTTTTTCCCCATAAACATTCACTTTTATAATGACCTCACAATGCTGCCAGAAGATTTTATGGCTCCATCTTTTTTATGGAATGTTGTCAACTTTATACTCTGACCCCGAGACAACTATGGCAAGGAGAATACATCATATTTTGAAGTAACAAAATACAGCTTGACATAAGACAGGAAATTCGGGAAGCTTTCTGGTGAGTACAAAGTGGACACATTTTGTGATTATTACCATTTGGTCCTGGGATGAGGAGTATAGATTTGTCTGTGTGTGTGTGTGTGTGTGTGTGTGTGTGTATGTGCAAGAGAGAGAGAGAGAGAGAGAGAGAATACAGGACAGAGATAGACAGGTCTATCTACTATATTTTGTCCAGCTGGGTCAAGGACACTTTAATCACATAAAAACATATAAAACAGGTGCCAGCACGCAACCCAGCAGGTAGGCCTTGCCACTGCCACACAACTCCATCCTGAGCCTGGCCAATTGCGTGCTGATCAGACAGGCACTCAGCCAGAGAGGCCCAAGATCTGTGGAGACCACACGCCCTGCAGTGCCAGCACGGGACCCAGCAGGTAGGCCTCACTGCCACTGCCAGACTCCATCCCCAGCCTGGCCTAGTACACGTTATAGAGAGAGGCGACTTCCCAGAGAGGCCCAAGACCTGAGACGACCATGCACCCGAGGTACCAGTGGGCAACCGAGCAGACACTGAGGAAGCTGTGCCAAATTGGCAGCCCCAGCAGCATCCTAGCCAGACAATAGTGTCAAACAAGTGGACCGTGAAAGCCCCTGCCACAATGATGAAACAGCAAAGGAAAGATACCAGAAATATGAAAAATCAAGAAAGTACACTACCAAAGAGTAATAACTCTCAAGCTCTAGATCCTATAGAACAAGAAGCCCTTGAAATGTCTGACAAGTAATTTCAAGTGAGAATTCTAAGGAAACTAAATGAGATACAAGAAAACTCAAGTAGACAACATGATAAAAAGAGGAAAAGTATATAGGACCTGAAAGAAAAAATGTAAAGGAAGTCAATGCCCTGAAAAAGAATGTAGCAGAGCTTGCCGAGCTGAAGAATTCATTCAACAAAATAAAAAACACAACAGAGAATTTAACCAGCAGGCTTGCAGAAGCAGAAGACAGAACTTCTGACTTTGAAGATGGGCTGTTTGAAATAACACAGGCAGACAAAAATTTAAGAGATATCAGACAACCTTAAGTGCTCAAATATCCAAGTCATGGGTATTCCAGAAGGGGAGGAAAAAGGAGATTGCATTCAAAACATTTTCAATAAAATAGTGGAAGAAAACTTCCCAGGTATAGGAAAAGACACAGATCTCCAGATTCAGGAAACTCAAAGATCCCCAAATGTATTCAACCCAAAAAGGGCTTCTCTAAGACATGTTATAGTCAAATTTACAAAACTCAAAGACAAACAGAGAGGGCCGGCCCGGTGGCGCACTGGATAGTGCGCCGCTTGGGAAGCGCGACACGGAAAAAGACAAAAAAAAAAAAAAAGAAAAACAGAGAATTTGAAAAGCTGCAAGAGAGAAGTGTCAAATCACCTATAAGGGAGCCCCAATCAGACTAACATCAGACTTTTCATTACAAACCCTAAAAGCCAGAAAGAAATGGGATGATATATTCAAAATACTAAAAGACAGAGATTGACAGCCAAGAATACTCTACCCCACAAGGCTGTCCTTCCGAAATGAAGGGCAAATAGTATATTTCTCAGACCAACAAAAACTGCAGGACTTCACTACCACATGACCACCCTCAGAAGAAATTCTCAACGGAGTACTGGGTTTGGTACCTGAAAATAACTACCACTGCCATAAAAACTCAAGAAAAATGAAAACCTACTAGTAAAATAAAAATCCCAAGAATGAAGAGAAAAAAGAAAAAAGTATATCTACAACCCAAGCAACCAACAAATACAGAAGACAAACAATAAATCAGAAAGAAAGGAACAAAAGACACTTAAGACATAAACAAACAATCAATAAAATGCTAGGAGGAAACCAACACTTTTCAATAACAACTCTTAATGTAATAGGATTAAATTCCCCAATCAAAAGACATAGATGGGCTGACTGGATTAAAAACGATGACCCAACTATATGCTGCCTTCAAGAGACCCACCTCACCTATAAAGACTCACATAGACTAAGAGTGAAAGGATGGAAAAATATTTACCATGCAAACAGAAATGAAAAACCAGCTGGAGTAGCTATTCTTATATCCGATAAAGTAGACTTTCAACTAAAAACCAAAAAAAGAGATAATGCAGGTGACTACATAATGATAAAATGATTGATCCATCAAGAAGACATAACAATCATAAATTCATATGCACCCAAAGTTGGAGCAGCCAGATTAATAAAGTAAACTCTATTAGACCTAAAGAAGTAAATAGACACCAATACCATAATAGCAAGGGACCTGAAAAACTCACTGTCAATATTGGACAGATCATCTAGGCAAAGAATCAGCAGAGAAACACATGATCTAAAGAAAAATCTAGTCCAATCCGACTTGGCAGATATCTACACAACATTCCATCCAACAACTTCGGAATATTCATTCTTCTCATCAGCACATGGATCATTCTCCAGGATAGATCACATGTTAGGTCACAAATCAAGTCTCAACAAATTTAAAACATTGGAATTATCCCATGTAATTTTTCAGACCAAAATGGATTAAAATTAGCAATCAATAACAAATGAAATTCTGGAAATTATGCAAACACATGGAAAATACACAGCATTCTACTTCATGACATATGGTTCCAAGAGGAAATCAAACAGGAAATTAAAAAATTTACTGAAACTAATGAAAACAATGATACATCATACCAAAACCTGTGGGATAGTGCAAAAGCAGTACTAAGGGGAAAATTTATCCCATTAAATGCGTACTTCAGAAGATCGGAAAGACGGCAAGTGAAGAACCTAATACTTCACCTTAAAGAACCAGAAAAACAAGAACAATCCAAACCCAAAGTTAGCAGACAGAAAGAAATCATTAAGATCAGAGCAGAACTTAATGAAATTGAAATCCAAAAAAATGATACAAAAGATCAATGAATCAAAAAGTTGGTTTTTTGAAAAGATAAAGTTAACAAACCATTAGTATGGCTAACTAGAAAAAGAGAGAAGGCCCAAATATCAAAAACTCGACATGAAAAAGTTGATATTAAAACTGATACCTCTGAATACAAAGTATCATTAGAGACTACTGTGAAAAACTATATGCCAACAAATTTGAAAATCTGGAGGAAATGGAAAAATTTCTGGACACACACAAACTACCAATACTGAGCCAAGAAGATGGAGAAAATCTGAACAGACCAATAACAACAAAATAGATTGAAACTGTTATCAGAAGGCTCCCAACAAAGAAAAGCACAGGACCAGATGGATTAACAGCAGAATTCTACCAAACATTCAAAGAGGAATAGATATCAATTCTCTACAAACTATTATAAAAGATTGAAAGAGAGGCAATTCTCCCAAACTCATTCTATGAAGCAAACATCACCCTGATACCAAAACCAGGTAAAGGTACAACTAAAAAAGAAAACTACAGGCCAATATACTTCATGAATATAGATGCAAAAATTCTCAATAAAATATTACCTAACAGAATACAGCAACACATATGCAAAAGTATACACCACGGTCAAGCGGGATTCATCCCATGGATGCAAGGTTGATTCAACCTATGCAAA